TGTCACGGGCATTTGGGAAGTGAACCAGCAAATGGGAGATAATTTATAATTCATTCTCTCTCTCTCTGCCTTTCAAACAATTTTTTTTTAAAAGCTGGCAATACATTTTTTAAAAGGTAACTTTATGTCGGTGCAAAACATATTGACATCTACACAGTTTTTTTTTTTTTTTTTTTTTTTTTTTGACAGGCAGAGTGGACAGTGAGAGAGAGAGACAGAGAGAGAAAGGTCTTCCTTTTGCCGCTGGTTCACCCTCCAATGGCCGCCGCTGCAGCCGGCGCACCGCGCTGATCCTGGCAGGAGCCAGGAGCCAGGTGCTTTTCCTGGTCTCCCATGGGGTGCAGGGCCCAAGCACCTGGGCCATCCTCCACTGCACTCCCTGGCCATAGCAGAGAGCTGGCCTGGAAGAGGGGCAACCGGGACAGAATCCGGCGCCCCAACCGGGACTAGAACCCGGTGTGCCGGCGCCGCAAGGTGGAGGATTAGCCTATTGAGCCACGGCGCCGGCTCGACATCTACACAGTTTTTTCATAATTCACATTTGCCATGAACTTTTTGAAGAACACTGAGCTTGAATGCATGGATTTCAATGCTTCTGCACCTAAATAAACTTATCTTTTAATTCTAATTTCCATGAGCTTTTTTTGGTTCATATGTGCTTTATATAATATTCTAGATATGAGCTCTATCTCCAGTTTTGAAAAATTAAAGTCATCTGAAATGAACAACTCCAGAGGTCCAGCTCCTTGACTTTATAGACTTGATAGACACTTGATAGACACTCAAAGAGGTTAGGAGGCTTCCCCAGAGCCACAGGGTGTGTTTCTGGTTAAAATGGCACTGGACTGAGACATCTCCTAACTCAGGTCCTCTCTTCCCCTCCATCCCTCTGACAAGGAAGGGCAAGGAGGAGCACAGCTTTGTTTTGTGAGAAAAGAACAGGCGAGCTGATATGATAAACAGCTGGCAAATATGCTGAGGATTGAAGACTCTTTCCACAAGGAATTTTTAAGATTTACTTATGCTCCCAATATCCTAATAATGACTGTAATAATCACAACAATGCTAACATCACACACACACACACACAAATCTGCTGTGATCTAGTGAGACTCTGGCTCCATCTGATTTGCAGATGGTATCAGATGGAGTGGGTTTGAGGGGCCAGGCCAGGGGAGGAAGGACAGGGAGCCAGGATGTCTGCGATTTTATTGACTTATCCACCTGGCCTAGGTGAGACCCCTCGCCCTGGGACAGTCAGGAAAGGAACCTCTGCTATCTCTCTGAGAGCTTTTTTGTTTTGTTTAGAGGTCAATTACTTCCCATTTGGGGAACTTGTGAACATTAAGAGGTGACTGGAGTGACGGGTCTGAACGATGCAGATAAGAGGCTGATTGCTTACTGAGCTGCTCCCTGGTAAAAGCCCTGCCTGGGATAAGCAGTCTGTTGGGAAAGGACACACAAAAAGGGGCAGCTTTCAGTGGGAAGGAGAGATTACAGAGACGGAAGGCGGGCGGCTGGGGTGGGCGTGATGAGCTGGGAGACGGATGGATGCGTTTTAAAGTGATCTTGACAGGCAGAGAGTGAGGAGCTGGGAGAACTGAGCTCCCCTTCCCTCTCCTTTTCTTTAGAAAGAACTTGTTGCAGTCATGTGAATCTCACACTTTCTCACCGTGGCCTGAAGAAAAGAAAATACATGGATTGTACATAGACAATGTGAATATATATTGAAACAAGTCAGAGAAACAGACCTTCCATCATTGGTTCACTCCCCCACATGTCTGCAACAGCTGGCCCTCAGTTCAGATCTCCTCCATGGGTGACAGCGAGCCACACACTTAAACCATCACCTGCTGCCTCCCAGGGTACACATTAGACTGAAGCTGGTTCAGAAGTTGGTGGATAAGGGAGTCAGAATTCAAGCCAGGCACTCTGATATGGGATGAGGCTTCCACATAGTGTCTTATCCCCTGCTCCAGTGCCCACCTCCATTGAGCCAAATACAATTCACAGCATTCCAGGGAGCATAACCAAAAATGTGGCTGACCATGGGATCTTAGGTGTACATTTAAGCACCACCCCTCCTACCACCCACACCTTTTCGGTCAACTGAAGGCAGTCAACAAATTCCCATAAGCTATTTTGAATTCTATCTCACACATTTCTAAAATATGGCTCTGGCTTTGGCATAGCCCCATGGACATTTCTCCATTCCCAAATCTTAGATTTTCCTGAAACTGATCCCAGCTGGCAGCGTCGTCCCACAATAATCACCAAGATTAACGCCCTCATCTCTTCGGCCCTCTGTAAGTGCCCCAGCTCACGCTGGATTTTCTTGCTGTCTATAGAGAGCTTATGTTCTGTCTGTTTGACATGCGGCATATACCACCTTGTATTTTTAGATACATTACTCATGTTGGTCTTTGCTCTCCAATTAGTTCCTTAAGGGTTGTTGCCAAATCTTATTTTCTTTTGTGTCCCAACCAGGAAAGTGCAGCAAGGACTGAGCCACTGAAGACTGAACTCAGCCTCTGCTCTCTCCTTCACGGATAGCCTTGGCCACATCATTGCTTTTTTTCCCATGCTTCTCCAGGTGGTACACAAGATTATGGAGAGAGCATGGGAGTCTCACGTGCCCTAACTCAGGAGGCAACACCTATGTGTAACATCGGATTCTGCTAACTGCAGCTTCTCTTGCTTTTCTATGTTGGAAGGGGATGAGAGGGTCAAGGAAGTAACATTTACTAGTAAGGAATTAATAGTTTTTATTAGTTTATTAGTTTACTATTAATTCCTTACTCTGTGTAGAGTCATCCCACCATGACCTTCACTTCTGGGGTTGGGAATCTTGAAGCTGAAATGATTTTTTTAAAATTAACATACACTGTCTAGTATGTTTTGGTTAACACTGGGTCACATATATACTAGTTCCTTATATTATAATGATAAATTCCTTTGGTCTAGTATTTTTACTGTGCTTTCACCATGTTTGGAAGTAAAATACCATTGTGCTATGACATCCTACAGTGTTCAGTACAGTAACATGCTGTCTCAGAGTAATAGGCCATATCACGTAGCCTAGGTGTGTAATAAGCTGTACCTCTACCATGTTCACACAGTGACAAATTGCCAATGCTGTATTTCTCAGAATGTGACCCACCCCATCATTGACTCATGACTGCACAGAGCTTTAGCATGTGACGTTAGAAAAATTTAATTCAGTCCAGCAACTGAGAGCCAGACAGACCGTAATTCAGCAGCAACGTTCAAAGGAAACTCACCTGCCATGAATCCAAGGCAAGTGTCCAAGGTAACCTCTCTTAGAAGAAATAGCCTTGAACATGAGAGAATCACAAGTGACACTGTATGACAGTTCTCTCATGGGGAGATCTTACCTCTAATCTCTATTTGCTTTCCCTCAATTTAGTTGACCAAGGAATATTTCCTAATATTTCCAAACTTGAAGCACACATATTGCACTTTTTAAACCCAGATTGGACAACACTAACTATGGTTGAAGGACACTGTTGGTGTTTCTAAATATACCTTTATTAGCAATGAAGATGAGAAGTAAACAGGAAAAGTGATAAAAACAAAAAGGAGAGGAATTGGAAAGGGTAGTAAGAAAAAAGAACAATTATTCTTTTGATTTTTAGCTCAAACACATAAACTTTAAGGGATGTAAACTATGCCTGGGTACTGACCCAGGCATAGTTTATAAGGACTCAAGCAGGCTCTGTTTCCAACTTTAGTGAAAACAACCAGGGCATATTCAGGAATGAGAAAATGTTATGGGAAGTACACTTTAATTAAATATGAGAAGTTACTAAACAATAGACTTCAACCTCTGATGAGCCAGGGGTCCAGGAGCATGAAGAACCAGAGATTTTATTGTTTAAAAATGTGATCCAAGACGGGAGGCTGGGGGAATAGAGCCAGATATTCAACTAAACATGTACCAGTGCCAAATTTCCTCTGTGATCCCGTCTTTCCATTACTACAATGAATTTGTTCCCGCTTTTCAGATAGTGTGACCTCAGACACATTGTCATGAGGTTGTCAAAATGTCATCACTGTAGGAACCCTAAAGTTCAGGCTTTCTACCCATCTGGTTAGGACGTAGGGCCACGAGGGGCTCCTTTCCCAGTCTCCTTTCAGAGACTGATTCTATTCTGAAAGAACACCTGTAAAGAGGAAGTGAGGAGTGTGAAACAGGCACTCAGGTTGCCCGCCTGCAGGGCTGAGCCAGCTTCCTTCCCCTAGAACGCCTGGGCTTCGTTTTTTACTTTAATTCGAGGTTAAGGCTCTGTAGAGAGCAGATCCTAATGGCCTGCGCTGACACGTAGTGTATGCTGACACAGACGCCAAGCACACACGGATATGTAGTGCAGGAGGTAGTTAGGAGGAGCTGTGCTGTATACAAAATGCAGTGACAGAGGACAACCGGAATGTGGGTACTCTGCCAGGAAAGCAGTGGCCAGAAAAGAGCGCTCTTTGCTGCATTATTAGGATCCTCAGGGACACAGCCCTTAGAGAGCATTTAAACTCTGCAGGAGGGCATGGTTCGCAGCAAGGGTCCCTCAGGGGTCCTCCACCTCCCGGTTCCCGCACCCCTCTCCCTCTTCCCCGCACCTGTTCCTTTGATTGGAGGCTGGGCGCGCTCTGCACCACTTCCTCCCATCACACACTCCCCGGTGCCTTGGGTTGCGGTACGCAAAGTAAAGGGAATCTCGGGTCTGCGGGGGAAAGTCCTCTGCCGCCGGCACACTGCCAGCCGCCCTGGGTTTTCTTCTTTTCCTGTACTGCTTCGACGGGGTTAGTCCCTCGGGGAAGAAAGTCCCAGGGCCTTCGGCGGGACGGCCGTTCAGGTTCAGGGGAGGTTCGCTGTCCCAGATCCGGTCGGGGAGGAGCGCCGCGGGGCCTCGGGTTTCCTCCTCCGCAGCGGTCCGTCACCTGCGCGGAGGTGGAGGGCACCGAAGCACCGCGTCCTGGTGGGCGCCTCACCACGCCCTGACGCCCTGCAGCGTGGCGGGCAGATGGTCCTGCGGAGTGACGCTGCGGCTTCCCGGGCCGAAGCCCGGACCGGCCAGTGACGTGGGACCTGGGGTCGCGCTGCCGTAGCAACCGCTGTAGCCCGCGCCGTACGGGGCGCTTGCGTAGCCGCCGTAGCAGGTGTAGGGGGCTGCTGCGGCGCCATAGGGGTCGGAGAAGGCAGGCGCACCGGGACCCAAGCAAGGCTTGCCGTCGCGCACCAGTACGGGCACTGCTACCCGGCGCGGAGCAAGCGGGTGGCCGGCCAGTTCCAGCGACTTGTCCTGGCGCTGCCTCTTGCACTTGTAGCGTCGGTTCTGAAACCAGATTTTGACCTGCGTGGACGTGAGCTGCAACGCGCTGGCCAGGTGCTCGCGCTCGGGCGCCGATAGGTACCGCTGCTGCTTGAAGCGCCGCTCTAGGGCCAGCACCTGGGCTTGCGAAAAGAGCACCCTGGGCTTCCGCCGCTGCCGCCCCTTGGGCAGCTCGGCGCCGCCACCGCGCACATTGTCGCCGCCGCTGCCGCTGCCGCTGCCGCTGCCACTGCCGCCGCCGCTTCGCTCCGGCACCGTAGTCGCACCGCGGAGGGGCGAGGCCACACTCAGATCAGGCTCTGAAAGCACAGGAAGGAACGCCGTCAGCACCCATCCCGAGGTGCACCAAAGCAATTCTTACAACGTTTTCAAGAGCGCCCTCTCTCCCCCGCTAGCCTCACTCCCGTCGCAGGCGTGCTGACCATTCCCCTGCCCAAGCTCGTACCTGCTGGAACGCAAATTATGACTTCGACGGACCCCGCTGTACTTGTCTTTTCCCCAGAGGCAGACCCTCGATCCAGTTTATAGCATCTCCGCTTTCTTCTTGGAATATTATGTACATGAGGCAACTTTTTTTTAATTTATTTTTTAAAGATTTCTTTATTTGAGAGAGAGAGAGAGAGAGAGACAGAGAGAGAGATCTTCCATCAGCTGGTTCACTCCCCAAATGGCCACAAGCCAGGAGCCAGAAACATCTCCGTGCGGGAGGCAGGCTTGGCAGGCAGGGGCTTTACCGCTACGCCACAAAGTCCGCCCAACTTCTGCCACAAGGATGGAGTATGAATGTGGGGGCCTATGAGGTTGGGGTTATCTTTGGGCTGCCCTTCGGAGGAAGGGCTAGGGGAGAAGAGGAGGTGGGGGGTGAAGAGGGGAGAAGAGGGAGAGATGGAGAGAGAGAGAAACGGACAGAGACTGATGACTGGAATCCTCAGAAGGTCCAGGCTTGGACAAGCACAAGGCGGGCTCGCGCGCACAGCAGGAGATCAGCCCCAGGCCGTCCGCGGAATCCCGAGTGTGGCCCAGCTGCACACAGCCTCACCTTTGCGGTCATCACTGCTCCACCCACACCAGGGACGCATCCATTTTAGACGCGATGCTCCGTAATCCAGATTAACAAAATAAGGCGAACATATTTCCTGACTAGGAAATGGACGCTGTCTTTGAGGGCGATATAAAATTGAGATCCACATTTGGCTTCCTTCCTTCTCTCTCTCTCTCTCTCTCTCTCTCTCTCTCTCTCTCTCTCTCTCTCTCTCCTCCCGCCCCCCTTTCTCTCTTTCTTTCTTTATTAGCGGCCGCCTCCCCCTTTGGGGTCTTCCTGACAAAGGAGTAGTCCCGGCTTCACCCTGGAGTCCTCTTTTTCCCGGGAGCGGCTCCCAACAGCAGCGGCCTTTTCTTCCGTTCTTCCCTTCGCTCTCCTGTCTACAATTAGCTGTTTTGCTCTAAGGATAGGTACAGAGGAAATCTTGAGTTGTGCTGGACACTCGCGCCCAGAGAAAACTTGGGCGGGGGGTGCAATTGGTGGTGACGCAGGGCGGCGCGCGCCTAATTAGACCCAGTGCGGGCTGGAACCCGCCTTCGAATCCCCAGCTGCATTGGCACAAGTTCCTAGAGAATGGAACTGTTTCCTACCTAAAATTTGAGGCAAGAAAAACTCGCTTCATAGAGACCTGCTCAGAAAACCTGAAGCTATCTCCCCTCGCAAGGTGGAACAATACTGAGTCGGGTTTAATTTCTTAGTAAGTGAGAAATAAACAACTGCTCTTCGGTGACGCTGGGGAGCAAGCAGGAACCTCATGAACGTGGCTGACCACACGGGCTGGGCGGCTGCGCGCACCCAGGGCACGCGCCGGCACATTGCCCCCTCCCGGTCACAATTCGGGGCCCCACCTGCCCTGGGTCCCTAAAAGCAAGGTGGCTTGGGCCGGGGGCGGGTGAGGCTCCTGAAGCCCTGCAGGCGGGTCTCCTTCCCCCAGAAGTGGCCATGGAGACGCCGCTCGGGTTTGCCAGCGGAGGAGGAACGCACTGCGCTTGCCTCTCTCAGCCTCTCTCAGCCGGGCTGAGGCGAGGGCTGAGTTCGCCTGACAGCGCCCGGGGAGGTGAGTGTGTGTAGAATCCGCTGCAGAAAACCCGTGGCGAGTGCGGCAAAGCCTCAGGTCCTCCAAGCTTCCGGAGTCCGGGAATAAACAGCTTGCAAGTCCGTGAGCTTCTCCGAACACCTCCTGGCCCCAGAGGCCGCATAGCCCGCGACGTGCGCCTCCGGGCCCCACTGACGTGCAGGGGTTTGGAGAGGGGACAGGGACTTTCGCATTCCTCGGTAAGTCGGGTCTCTCCCGCCCAAGGCTCCCGGGTCGCAGTAGCCAACGCGGCGCGTCTCCCCGCCTGCCCGCCCGGTCCCTGCCTATCGGCAGGATGTCGAACACGCAGGGCGTAACACCTTCAGGACTCAGCCCCCATCTGGTCCCCACCTCCCGTTGTCGAAATGGGGAATCCGTGTACGGGAGTGGCGGTGCTGGCCAGGCCACTCGCGCAGCAGCTATGGGAAAGGGCCGGCCGCGGCGGACCCCACAGTCGATAGGAGTCCAACGCCTCCCTATGCTTCCCCCACCTCAACCCCGATAGCTTAGGGTAGGCAGAGACTGGGAGATGGCAGAGCAGGGTGGACTTAGCACAGCTGTGGGGACGTGGCTGCGGGAGCGACGCGCGGCTGGCAATGAGGGGCGGCCGTGGGAAGAGGGAACTCTCGCCTTATTTTGGATCAGCACTCCGGGTCTGGAGGAGGTATGAGTGGGAGCTGTGGGGCCGGCCTTTTGAGGAGAGGCCAGGACCAGGGTACTAGCAGATGCATTTTCCCCACAGGCATAGATCAGTAACACCCCCGCCCCCGTGTTCCCGGCGTTAGAGCCTAGACCCGCGCGCCGACTCACGTGGCTCCCCCAGTGGTTCTCTGTCCATCTTCACCGATGCCTCACACGGAGCCCCAGGAGGCCTCGCGTCGCCGCCACTGCCGCCACTATCTCCGGCGCTGTGAATCCCCGGTTTTCGCGGCTCCGCATCTGTTCGCGGCCCTTGGGAGTTTTCAGGGGTGCGCTGCGCCCGGCGCCGTGGCGAGGCCAGGAGGCCGCCCTGCTCGCGCTGCGGCCGCAGGATGTCCTTGACGGAGAATGGGGTGGAGGTGACCGGACTCAGCAGCATCCCGCAGGCGGAGGGGGCGGGGCTGAGGGCTTTCGGGTCCCAGCGGAGCGCAGCGCCCTCAGCTTCCCGTCTTGTCGCTAGAAGTCCTGGAGATGGACCCTAGCGCTGGGACAGATTCGCGGTGTCCCGGACGGAGTCCTCCTCTGAGCCATCTCTGTTGGCCGAAGAACCCGCGCAGGGCACCGAGTCTGCAGCCCCCCATTGGTTCCGGCAGAAACCACGTGCTAACCCTGCACCTTCCTCCCTAAGCGCTTTTTTCCCGCGCCCTCCTAATCTTCCAGCCCCTAGCCACCTTCCGGGGAGGTTTCATTCTTATTGACGCTTCTCCAAAACCAAGAAAACGTGGAGCAATGTTGCCCGGCGCGGCTCGTATCTGCCACAGCACGGTGCACACGGGAGCTTCCGAGGTCAACCACGGATCCCCAGGACCCCTCCCCCCCTTCCTCCCTGGAGGACGTGCGCGGATGGGGTGGAGTCCTCGCGGCGCAATCCGAGCCGGCCATCCGGACAGGTCCTTACCCAACTCCGCAGTCTGAGGCAGAGGAACGCGGAGGCAGGGACAGCCGGGCACCCCGGGGATTCCAGGTGCGCGCTGGAAATCTAGCGGGCGCCGGGCCGGACCGCCGAGGAGGAGCGAGTCTTGACCAGCCAAAGTCTTTATTAAGGTAGAAGCGTCTCTTAGAGGAGGCCACTTCCGGGAGCAGAGAGTCTCAGCCTTGGGAGCGAGGAAGGCGCTTAGAGTCTATAATCGTGTGTGTGTGGGCGGGGGGGGGGGTCCCTGGAATCTGAGACGCCCGCCAGGGATAAGGTAGAGGGAAGGGCACAGTCCCCACCGCGCGAAGGTGCCAAGGAGAGGCTCACCTCGCCCGCCAAGTCCCCTTGTTACCTCTTCTCTCCTTTATCCTCGCTAAAGCTGGTTGCTGTGAACGTGAGTGAGCGTGTGTGCGCTAGTGTATACACACTGTCGCTCGCCGACAGTGGGAGGAGGTTGTGATGAGCGTTCGCTCTCCAGAGAGGCTCCTGGGACGTGGCTGACTTAGTAAAAGGAGGCGGTGTGACGATGGTTAGGAGCCTGGAGATTGAACAGACGAACTTTTGCTCCCGAACATAACCGAGAGCTTTTGGGCAAAGTGTTAAGTTCCCGCAGCTTGGTTTTCATTAAAAAAAGAAAGAGAGAAAGAGAGAAAGAGAGAAAGAGAGAAAGAGAGAAAGAGAGAAAGAGAGAAAGAGAGGAAGGAAGGAAGGAAGGAAGGAAGGAAGGAAGGAAGGAAGGAAGGAAGGAGATAACGTCCAATTGTAGGATGGTTGCAGTAATTGAGAAGCCTACCATGAGAAAAAAATGATTTGATGCCTGCAGTCCCAGACAGAATAGAAGAGCATGTAAACTCTTTTAAAATCAAATTGGAATCTGTGCGGAGTTCTTTTTGGCATTTCAGATTGAATGCTTCTCAAACCTTCTGCAAATTCAAAGCTACAACTCCCATTTGTATGTTATTACTTCCTGAAATCCACATAGAAAACCCATCAGCTCCCCAGCCTAGTTTCAGCCACCAAGTCATGATTTCGGATGCACAGTATCATTTAATACTTACATGGAAGCTACCCCAGACTGTTCCCGCAGGGAGGGGGAGATCTGGGAAGTTTCGCATCTGCTGAAGTGGCTCAGCGCTTCTTGCCAGAGTGCATCCACACCAATAACTTGTCACAACCATAAGCCTTCTCTATTTTTTTCTGAAATACACATCCTTTGCCCTCAAAACTCCATAATCTTGTGATGAACCATTAACTTTTCTCTGATTATGAAACTCATCATTCACAATCTGGAATAAATAGAAAATAGAGGAAAGATGAAACAACATCCAACAGGAGATAACATTTTAGTGCACTTCCTTCTCCATTTAACTTTGCATACATGAGTATGAGCTCAAAGGGCATAGGCGAACTTCTGTGTTTAAATGTACATCTTAAGCATGGCCAGAACCTGATTAGTTTTATAACACATACAATATTAAATAGCAATCTAATATTACATGTTATGGATGGACCATTACAGGTTGTGTTTATACTTTAGGTAAATGTAATGTTTCCCATCAATTTAAATAGCGATTTCTTTTGTGACTTCATCCTAGTACCTCTAGACTTTGTACCCTTACCTTGTCAATAATTTAGATTATTTCCTCTGGATACATTTGTAAAATAGACACTAAACAGTCAAATATTTCAGTGTTCATAAACGCATTATCACATGACTTCCCAGAAAAATGAGGTGCTGGGGTCCCTGCCCCCTCCCCAGGTTCTTGGGAACATCTGGTTGATGGGTATTTTCAACAACCCCTGGAAACACCTGACTCGGTGGTCTTAGACTCACCTTCCCCTCGAGGAGCCAGACACACTCCACTCAGTCCCCGTCCCCCTTGCAAGGGCTAGGGACAGGAGGTGGGAAGACACCAAATAAAACCCAAAGTCGCGTAGCTGCCAGCGTGTGTTGCTGTGGCTGAATTTGGCAAACAGTTGCATTCTAGGAAGCCACGGAAGACCTTGGAAGCAACTTGGCATCAAAAACTCTGGGTTCAAATCCCATCCTTAAGCCCCTGGCCTTGCCATCCTGGTTTGCTGGGAAGACCAAATGTGGGTTTTCTTTTTCTTTTCTTTTCTTCCTACCCCCACCCCCAGGGGGACATGAAAAGCCTTTGTAGACCCTCGTGAGTGGTACCAACATGAGTCCTTGCATGGAAATCTGCTGTTTGGGCTTGGGCTTGGGCTCACCGGCGGAAATCCTGGGAGAAGGGTCCCTAGCCTGCTCGCCCGACCCCTTGCGGGAAGAGGCCGTCTTTTCCTCGCGTTGCGCCGAGGAGGCGGGAACTTGCAAGGAGAGTTGGGATCTCAGCTCCAGGCACTTCCCGCTCTCCCAGATCTCCCCCTCTTCACTGGGGTCCGGGGCTGTTCTTGTCCTTCGCTCCTGCCACTCACGCGCTAGGGGACATCAAAAGTCGCCCGCAGGCGAGTGGAACCAGTAACTTCAGCGGCTGGAGCGGGCGACCTGTCTAAGCCAAGCAAAGAGGAGACTAGGTAGAGCGGGAGCATAAACGCGTTGGGGAGTCGGACGCTGAAAGTCTGGGCTCGGTACAGCCGGGACAGTGCACTGCGCTGTGTGTCTCTTGCTCATGAGTGGAGACCGGGCTAAGGTTGCGGGTGGATCTATGGTGCTCCAACCCGGTCACGCAGGGAACCCACACACCAGAGCTGGGACTGCTGAAGATTAGGGTTACCTACTTTAAGCCAACTCCTGCGGGACTCTAAGGATACTGGGGAAACCAGGAATCTCAAAACTTTTATCTGAACTGACCTTGCCCGCAAGATAAACTTTAAAATAATGCCCATGCACTGTGATATCTTGCAGGATCAAATGGAATTTGAAGGGATCTTTATTGAACTTCTTCTTAACTATCCATGGTTAACAAAAATCCTTTTCTCCTTTTTTTTTTTAAACTTTCCTGAAATGAAGAGATTCCTCTTTGAAGTGGGGGTACACAATAGACTATTTCGGGTACAGTCTGGAGCTGGTGGGCACCAGGAGTTTTCAGGAAACTGATGTGAGTACCTGACCCCTGCTACAATAGACTAGACCTGGTTTCTGGGTCTGTTCTCACAGCTGTGTCTCCAGGGCCAGGACTAACCTGGCACAAGATAGGTCACCAACAAATATTTGTTAGATAAAGGTGTCTTCCCTGTTTGGCTGGGGATAGTCTCTAGCATACTGGCCCAGGGTGGGGGTAGGGGTGTCAGATCTGGCTCATTGAATCATCTGATAGCACTTTCTGCTTTGCATGATCCCCTTTGCTGGACCCATTTCTTGATACTATTGTGTTTGTTTTGTGAGTATGTGAAATGTTAACATGGTTCTAAAAGTCAAAATTATGCAATGCGATATGCTTATGGAAATGACACTACAGCTTTATTCCTCCTGTTTCCTGTTTCTGTACCCATCTCCTTTCTTTCCTGGTTGCTACACATTACCTATTTCAGCTTCTCCTTTCTGTGCTTGCTTTGAGTATTTTATGTTTATTTATTTTCATTTTCTTTGAAAGGCAGTGTGTGTGTGAGAGAGCGTGAGACAGAGAGAGAGAGAGAGAGAAACTTCCATCTGCTAATTCACACTCCAAATGCCCCATCCCAGCCAGGGCTGAGCCAGGTTGAAGCTAGGAGCCAGAACTCAATCCAGGTCTCCCACTTGGGTGACAAGGACTCAAGTACTTTAGTCATCATCTGATGCCTTCTAGAATATGATTAGCAGAAAGCTGGATCCAAAGCAGAGTAGAGTAGTTGGCATTCAGATATGTGAGGCCGGTAACATAAGCCCCTGGGCCAAATGCCTGCCCTAATTATTTTTTTTTAATGTATGGTTTTCATTAATTTGAAAGGCAGTGAGTCAGTGACAGAGACATAGAGGGATTTTCCATTTGCTGGTCACTCCCCAAATACCTGCAACAGGTAGGGCTAGAACTCAAAGTCAGGGGCCTGGAATTCAATTGTCTTCCATATTGGTGGCAGGGGCTCAACTACTTGTGATATCATCTGTTGCTTCCCTGAGTGTGCATTAGCAGGAAGCTAGAATGGGAAATGGACCTGGGACCTAGGCACTCTGGTATGGAAGGGGAGCCAAGTGCCTGTGATTTTAAAAAATTTTCTTTAGGGGCCGGCACTGTGGCACAGTAGCTTAAAGCCCCAGCCTGCAGCGTCAGCATCCCATATGGAACCAGTTCCTGTCTGGCTCTCTGCTATAGCCTGGAAGGCAGTAGAAGATGGCCAAAGTGCTTGGGCCCTGCACCCACGTGGAGACCCGGAAGAAGCTCCTGGCTCCTGGCTTCCATTAGCTCAGCTCTGGCTGTTATAGTTATTTGGGGCGTGAACCAGCATATCGAAGACCTCTCTCTGTCTCTCTCTGGCTCAACTTCTGTAACTCTGTCTTTCAGAGAAATAAAATAAATCTTTTTTTAAAAGTCTTTAAAATTTTTCTTAAACAAATGAGAATATACATATACATATATATATATATTTCCCCCTTTTCCTTTTTTTGTGCATAACAAGGGATGTTAATATGAATAGCCCTTGATGTTCTAAAGCACTGACAAGCTTTAAGTTTTTGTATTGATATCCTGCTTCTGGTTGCTACTGTGTATGGCTGCTACTTCATAACACAGAGGATGTCACAGCTGCAGTGACAATACCTGTGCACTTTCTACTTATCTCTTCGTTCAGAACAAGTCATTCCATGTCTATGATATATTCGGGACACTGAGAATCTCCCACTAGTTGCCACTGTCATCGCAGGTCTTCATAACCTTATATTCACAGGGTATATAGTTTTAAAGGAGGTCCTCTCAGAACAATTTTGGATTTTCTCATCTTTCTTTCAAATGATGGCTTTAGCTCTTTCCATCACAGCGCTGTGTTAGCATCACCAAGTCATCGCTCCTTACTCTGCAGTCCCTGTTCCCACTTCAATTCCTCCTAGAGTTGAAAAGATTTGAAAAATAGGAACAGCTTGGCCATCTAGGCTATTTTTTTTTTTTTTTTTGGACAGGCAGAGTGGACAGTGAGAGAGAGACAGAGAGAAAGGTCTTCCTTTGCCATTGGTTCACCCTCCAATGGCCACAGCTGGTGCACCGTGCTGATCCGATGGCAGGAGCCAGGTACTTATCCTGGTCTCCCATGGGGTGCAGGGCCCAAGCACTTGGGCCATCCTCCACTGCACTC